ATGCTCAGACCCCCACTGGCTCTGGGCCGGGGAGGAGGGGGAGGACCTCTGCCACCAGTTCTCCCAGGGGACCACACTGCCCCTTCATGGCATGTGGCACCATGAGAACAAAGTGCTTCTTCTAATTGTTTTGTTTCACATCTGTAAAACTCCATCAAGGCAGGGACCGTGTCATCTTCATGATCCCTGACTCTTGAGCCTTGCTCCCATGGTGGCTCATAAACAACGTGCTCGAAGACACTCTGCTGACTGCCCGAGTGCCCACCCTGGGTTACAGCTGGGGTGCCGGGGGCACACTGGCTGGCTCTGAGTCTGGCTCCTCCACTTATTAGCCGTGTCATATTAGGCAAGAGACTTGACAGCTATGTGTATCAGTTTCTTCATCTGTAAAGTTGGGTGGATAAGGTATTTACACCTCATGGGGCCAAAACAAATTAAGACATCTAAAGTCCTTGGAAAAAAGTCTGACATATGGATGGTGCTCGATAAAAGTGCAGACCATTAATCCAACCCCCCCCAGGGCAGGAGCAGGGGGGTTTTGCTTAATCTAGATCAGCCCTGAATGAGGCAGGCCTGGCCTCCGGGGAACCGAGTGTTCGCTCCTACAGGGTCTTCCTGTGCAGTGACCCACACACCACCTGTCTGGGTGTGGCCTTCATCTCTTCTGGGGGCCTGGCCACAGGATGACCCCTCCACCCTGCTGATGCAGCCTCTGGGAGGCTGGGAGGAGCCTGGGAGGGCGGGGGAGGGGGGAACGGGAGAGGCCGGGCCAGGGCCAGGGAATTCACGAGAGTATCACGGCTTTAAATTTGTAGCAGAAATCAGAAAATCTGATTTTGCACATCTAAGAATAGCCGTTGGTTTCAACTGTGAGAGTGCCAAAGTGAAAGCTATAATTATTAGTACGTAACAAGCAGAAATTAACCACCTACCGCAAAGTCATTTTTAGCTGCCATCCCAATGTGGAAATTAAAAGATGGGCACCAAAAAGCTGCCTGGCTTGGCAAAGGTTCTGGTTCAACCTGGAATATCTGTGAAGTCTGACTCTCCGATGGCCAACCATGAGGTCTGCATCTTAAGGAAGTTGTATGGCTCCTAGGGAGATGGGTTTTGTACTACAATAAACATCAAATGCTCTAAAGCAGCCCCCTGACTCTGACTCCTTCCCCAGTAAGACCCCAGAGGCACTTATTTCTATCTGGCCTGGGTTCCCCTCCTGCAAAATGGAGGAGATAACCCCTTCTGACCTTCTTTATAAGACGGTGTATATACCAATGGCCCCAGAAGTTACTTGGAATTTCAGGAAAGGAGACCGTAAAAATAGGCAAATGTCATGTGAAGCCCAGATGCCATAAAGAAAAGATTGATAAATGTATTTTTTAAAGACTGGAAAAAAAAAAAGACAAACAAAAACACTAACAAAATAAAAACAGGAGAAAATATTTATAGCTCATATCACAGACACAAGGCAAATTTCTTTGGCACATAATAAATGCTTACAAATAAAAAAAGAAAGCTCAGTGTCTAAGAAGATAAATGAGCAGAAGCCATGAACAGACAATTGAAATCCCATTTTTCACTGATCAGACTGGCAGAGATCTAGAAGTCTGTGAATCCGCTGTGTTGACAAGGTTGTAAGAAAATGGGCATTCGCACATTGTTGGCTGGGCTGTAAATTGGTACTATTCTATGGAAGCCAATGTGAAAAAATTTATCACAATTAAAGAGAACACACCCTTTGATCCATCAATTCCATTTTTAGGAATTTATCTTATATGCAATATATAGAAGGATACTTACTGATGCATTGTCTGTAATGGCAAAATATTAGAAATAATCTAAATGTCAGTCAATGGAGTACTGGTTAAATTATGGTAAATTCATACAATGGATTTATACTATGCGGCTGGCAAAAACTCTGAGTCAGCGTTAGGTACACTGACAAGCAATGATCTCCCGGTGTGTGTGCTAGCCCGGTGTGTATGCTAGCTAGCAGGGGTGCTGGGGGTGACAGTGGCTGAGGCTCAGGGGCAGGATGGAGATTTTTCACTCTGATCCTTTGTACCCTTTCAATTGTGTACCATATGCAGGTATTACTATATATTCAAAAATAATTTAAATACAACTGTTACATAGGTCCCAACAAACTAAGGAACAAAACAGACACATCCTACGCCGGTCAGCCACGAGGTGTCCTGGTGAAGAGCCTAAGCCACTGGAGCCAGAAGCATCCAGGATAGGAGGAGGAGGGACAGGGACACAGAGGGAAGGGTGTGCCCAGGGAGCGCGGCCCACCGCTCAGGAATGGGGGGGCCTTGTGTGTCAAACATCATCTGTCTTCCCGGATCTATGCTCCCTGCTGGGCCACTAGCCCACTCCCTCACAGAGCGGCCGGAGGGTCAATGTCCAATTCATGATCTCTTTGCCATTCAAATGGACATACCAGTGGCCCAGGGGCCTGCTCATAAAACAGGCTGGAAGTCAAAGGTGGTCTCAGAATGACCTCACCCTCAAGCCTCAAATCTGGGGCCACCTCACCATGGGCTCTTGTCATGAGCTCCCACTAGCCTCAGCTCACCAGAGAAAACAACCAAGAGAGAAGAGACCCACAAACGCCACAGAAACACCATGGCCTGGGGTGTTAGGCCTTGATCTTTGGAAGTTTCTTCCAAAGCTTGCAAAATTTACAGAATCTGGCCATCCTGCCAGACCTAATGATGGACCCATAAATTGTCCAAAAGTCGGGGGGGTGGGGTCACTGTTATTTTGCCTCTTGGAGCAGCAGAGCTCAAACCACAGGTGGTAAAACCTTATAGTCCAGTGGAAGCTGTCTGTTTTCTGAGTTCGTTCTGAATTTACCCTTTCAAAGACCACATGAATATGTGATAGGATTCTAAATCTTGACTTAAACCAAGTCATTGCTTTGAAGGAGTCCATATGGCACAAATCCTGTACAGATTCTAATTTACTCAATTCCTTCGTATAACAGAAGCACCCTGCATATTCTGTCCAGAGTTTATGAGGCAGGTTTGGTGTTCGTTTTCCATAGTTCAATCCCACCAACATATAGAAGGTTAAAAGCCACGCCCATTAACCAACAACGAGAGCTTTCTTCTGTGCTACAGGCTATGCCAATGAGAAGTGGATATCACACGATTATGTCCAAATTCAAGGACAGCTCCAAACTGAATCCGAGCTATCCAGGTCTTCAATGTTCTAATCAGCGGCTACAAAATTTCCTCCCGAGAGTCATGGGGGAAACACACAAAGGAACAGAGTCTGGATAACTGAATAAGGGGCAGCAAGCCAGCAGGAGAAACTGTCCTGGAACTCAGTGACCCTCATTCAGATCACTGACTTTTCCAACAAACGGGGGAAGCAGCAATGCCTGTGAGGTCAAGGAAGTTCATTCCAGCCTTGAAGGACTGCCTTCAGCCCTGCTGGTTTTTTTTTTTTTTTTTTTTAAGACTTTGGCCCTTCAAAATCTCGATTTCAATTCCAACTGGAAAGACCCCTCGGCCCCCGACACTGGCCTTGCAGGGTCAGCGGGTCTCTCCTGGCCCAGACGCTGCGGCCTTCTCAGGCTTCTCTGTGTGTTCTCTGCAGTCACTGCTCGTGAGGGCGACCGAACAGGACAGGCGCCAGGCCCTCGAGTGGGGAATGATCTTGTCTGCGGCGGCACAGGGCATGGAGGGCAGGGCATTCCCGCTGTCCCTGTGCCCCGGCTCATCCAGGACCCAGCGAGAGGCCACATGCCGGCAAGCGTCTGTGCCGGAAGAACAATCAGCACATTCATGAATCATCCCTCTTTTGTGCTTCTGCTTAGAAGAATGTAATTTGCTAATTTATGGCTTCATTAAAGATGCCAACACAGAGGAGGCTGGCTGAGCGGGGCTCGGTGAGACGCCAAAGCCAGGTAAACCTGACCATGTTTTCATACACCAAGGTCTGCCAATCGTTCCAAATGAGGCTGAACATCACACAGTTAAGCTTTGGCAAAAAAAAAGGAGTAAATAGATGGACAATGGTGGATAACAAGCACTTTCCCCAGCCCAACCTGGGCTTCTACTGTGCACCCTGAGGGTCCGGCCTGGGAAGGCCCAGGTGGCGTCTTGCAGACCCAGTGCAAAAGCTCGAGGAACAGTACGAGTTACCAATCGTACATAAACATGAACACGTCAGTAAATCAGCAGCCACCATTTGCCCCGAGCCTCTCTGCAGTGGGGCGCTCACTGCCACACAGCCTGGGTGTGGGACGTATTGTGGGCATTTTTAGCCCGGCAGCAGCACTATGTGAAGCTGGGGGCGGGGGGCAGCCCTCTCTGCTCCTTGGGCTGGTTTCCAGTTCGGTGGTGCTCCCTGCTCTGTGGGGAGCAGGAGTGCTGGGGGCGGGGGCAGGGACATCAAAAGCGCTGCCCCTTCCCTGGGTTTGATGGAGACCTCTGAGTCATCGACACACACGTTCCCTCGCCCAGGGACTCTAGAGGTCACTGCCAGGACGTGCCAGGCACTGTGTTTGTCAACCCTAGGAGGTGGGTGCTACTACCCACCCCCACAGATGAGGAAGCCCAGGCTGAGGTGAAGCGATTAGCTCCTGTCTACACAGCTGGTAGAGTAGGGGACTTCCGGACTTCTGAGCCTGGGACACCCTGCCTTGCTGTCCCCTGCAAAGGAAGCCCAGGTGTCTGTTGCTCTCTGCCTCCTGCTGTGGCACAAAGCCTCCATCGCACCCAGCGACCTCCCCAGGCCCCTCAGACGCCCATCAGATCATCTCCACCTGATGGAGGCCTGTTCCATACCAGGTTCTGGGGAGCGATGGGGAGACACAGAGAAACTAATGGTTCCTGAAAAGCAGTAGTGACATTTTGGCATGTAACTGCAGAGGCTTTTATTTTTCCAAACCCCTCCCGAAAGGGGCTGTAGGCTAAACAGGCAAGTGCCCATAGGACCCTCCGGTATCCGGCACAGCGGTGGGGGTGGGGGTGGGGGTGGGGCAGTACCTGCATGGAGCCAGATCTGCGCCAGCGTCATCCAGGGGTGTAGCGGGCCCTGCTTGGGGGCGCTGCTCTGCAGAGACGAAGCCACTTCTGACAGTGCCTGCTCCACTCTGGAGGCTGCCACGGACGTGGCGTGGACAGAGCCTGTGGGGGGGGGGCGGTTCGAGAAGACGGCATCAGAAGTAAAAGGACGGATCCACGCGACCAGCCATCCACCCACCCCCTCCCACACACAGACACAAGTTCAAGACGAACACACACTCCTTCCCCCATGATGCTTCCAAGTTGTATGTCCATAAAGAAATACAGACAATCATTACGGCCTTGAACGGGAGTTTCCATCCTGCGCTCGAGCTTATGTTTTAGTCAACAACCAGAGCACATGCTATGGGAGGTGCTCCATCTGGGAGCTCAGTCTAGGACAGCGCGAGTGTTGGGGCAGGAGAGGGGTAGAGCTGGACACACGGCCGTGACGCTCATGCTGAAACGTGGCATAAATGAAGGGCTACAAAGGCAAGTGACACAGCACGCCCGGCTGGGCCTAAGTCTAGAAACCACCTGGGGGGCAGAGGGAGGAGTCATCCTTGCCTCCTGGGGACGGAGGAGACCATGCTCAAGACAAACCCAGCAACTTGCCATTCCTCTCCCTGGCCTTCGAGAGCTGGCCAACGCTCCTAGACCTGGAACTCTAGGACATGACCTAAGGATAGGAGGAGCACACGTTGGCCCTACGTACAAGCAGATGTCCATTGTCAAGGCTGCACTAAGGGAGGATGGCACCTGGGCTCAGGAGGGGTACCCGTCTGCCTCGGGGGCAAAGCCTGTTGTCCTAAACGGCTAAGGAGAGGAGCAGACCAAGCACATCCACTAGTCAAAGGAAGCTGGTAAAGGAACTTCTATTCAGAAATCAAATGACTCATTCCCCGTCCCGTTGCCCTTCCACGGGGTCCTGGCGGCTGGAGTGCACTCCCTCCACAGGGGACTGGCTGCTCACCTCTCCCCCCATACTCCCTCTTGGAGGGGTGGCCTCAGAGCTGAGAGCAGGTGTCTCAGTCATTTCCAACTGCAAACTGTTGATATTTATGTCACTGGCTGCATTCTTCATTTTTAATTCATCATAAAGTGTACTATGGAGAGAGACGTTCCGACATCGTGAGTGGTCACTCTCGACTTATTGTAAGGTTTCAAGTAGTGATCATCTATAAAGACAAATGCTGACCACTCCAATGAACCCAGCTGGTTATACTCTGGGTAAGACAAAACTGTGCACATAAAAATAATTTCTGTTGGGGCTTTGAGATGCGCCACAATTTATTCATTTTGAGAGTATTTGCAGCAAGAGGCTGGCCATCCATATTGTGCTTTGACTGTTCCAACATGAAGGAAACATGGGTACCTCTAAATACACTCAGATCCTTCAGCGGGGGTTTGGCGGAGGGGGCTCACGGGAGGCAGACGGAAACCAGACTGGGAATCCGCCTTCTGTGGATAATCCACACAGAGCACCCACGAGGACGAGCGAGGAGAGCGCCTCTGGGGATGGACAGTGAGTCCTGCAGAGGGAACCAGGACACACAGGAGGAGGAACCGGAGGCCGAGTTAAGAGACACCAGTCGATGCCCTTATGATCCAGAACTCACAGAGCTCAGCTAAGGACTGATCCTTGCTTAGACAAAGTGTGTCTGACTACTTAGGAAAAAAAAAAAAAATCAAAACAGCAAAATGATTAGACTGCTGTCGATTATTTTGGTCTTGTTTTGTTTTGGACTTTCTATGGAAAAGAAACATTTTAACTTTGAGAACAAGGATTTGATACAGTTTTCCTGAGACTTTAGTAGCAACTGTCAGCTAAATAAACAAGGTTGCCGTATATTCTTGATGTCACCACGCTGGCTCGCCTTCTCATCGCCTGCCTTGAACAGTGGTTCTCAACCTTGGCTTCGGATCAGAATTACTTGGGGACTTAAAAGACCATGATGCCATAGCTAGCCCCAGGTGAACCGAATCACTAACTCTAGGGGTGAGGGCAGGCCTCTTGCTAATTGCCTAGGTAATTCCGCTGTGTGGCTGGGAGACCCATCTACCTGGAGAGACAGAAAGCAGTTTTTACAAACATTTGGTCAAGAAAAGCCTGAAGGAATATTCTACATACCCCAGGCAGGGAGCATGAGCTCCCCAGATTCCCTGCAGGCCAAGACCCCGGGGAACAGAGTTCCAGGAAGATTTTGTTCTTTAGAACACTGATTCTCAATTCTCCTGGTCTCAGGATCCTTTTATAGACTCTGCAGAGTCCCTGAGACCCCTGCCAGAGATTTTGCTTCCATGGGTTATATCTATTGATGTTTTTGCCACATTGGAAATGAAAACTGAGAAATGCTTAAAATACCTAGTCACTAATTCATTTGCAACTAACAATAATAAATACTGAAGAAAAATTCAACCCGTTTTCTCCTAGGTTCTATGGGTCCTTTGCTACGAGGACCTGTGACTTTTGGCAGAGCTAATTTTGGTTTTTGGATTCATTATTTGGTCTGCAAACAAATTAATGAGAACCATTGTTAAAGTCCCTTCTCTTCGTGATAGCTACACACAACTAAATTAACTAATTATTCACATAATAACATGGTTCCCTGTGAATAAGGTCTGGCAAATGATGACAGTAGTGATTATCAGTTTTAGTGAACATGGCATGGCAGGTTTCAGGCAGTCCAATCAGCACTTTACGTATATATTTCATTTAACCTTTAAACAATTCTGTGAGGCGGCTAACGATGTTACAGCATGCTTTAGACAACAAAACAGATTTAATGAGCTTATGAATTTGTCCAAAGTCATACAGCCAGTGGGTGGCAAAAGTAGGACTAGAACAGTAGTCTAACTCCGAGTCTAGCCTCCACATCCAGCTCCCGTACCATCTCCTCCAGAAAGGCTGGCCATGAGCCTTCCGTTTCTTCTCTCTGTCACTCCCCTGTAAAAAGGTGGTGGGCCTTGGGTCCTCAGTGCTCCTCCAGCTCCCTGTGGGTACGGCTATCCACTGCACAGACCACAGCGTTTTCTGTTAACGTCACTGTCTCTCCTCTTAGACTGTGGTTCTAGAAGACAGGAGGCAGGCCCCACATCGAGGTGCTTTCAGCGGCTGACCATGCCAGGCCTATGAGAGCTACCAGGTAAACGCTTGCAGAATGAATGAGTACTGTTGACAGACATGTCACTGTCTGAAATCTGGAAGAGAGTGGTCGGTCCCCTCTTTTGGAAGCATGTCGGTGTGCTCTACTCTCCTGGCCTAACAATGGCTCAGAGGCCAGAACCTTCATTGTCTCAAAGGGCTTCCCCGCATGGCTGTCCTCACCTCCAACTGCCCGGACTGCAAATGACTGTGGCACATAGTAGCTTAAACACTGCTCCTCACTCCGTGACTTTCCCCCATCTCTAATATAACTATGCCATTTAAATATGGAGGGGAACTGCTGTTTTCCCTCCTAGTCGATCCCTTTTAACACATGCTTCGCAAGGGCAGAGACCCTTCATGTTCTAAACTAGGGACAGATATTAGAGCATTCGGGTATTTGCTAACAATAGCAGGTGACTAATAATAAGGGCCACATTACTGAAGAGTTAACGTCTACTATTCCTGGCAATAATACAATAAGTCAAATTCTTCCATAGGATTAGAATTTGGAGGAAAAAATAAACATCATTATGAATCAGAATGGATATATCTGATAAAAAACAAAACAAACAAAAACAAAAACAGCCTGTAAGTGACTGTCTCATAGGACTGAAATGGTAAGTGCCAAAATAGATACTTTACCAAAATAGATTTTGATTTATGGAGGTACACAACTAGAAATGCTAGTTTTAACCAACATTTGTTTTTTAAAGCAACCCTTGTCTTTCTCACCAAAGCAAATATATGCCCACAGTGTACATGGGGGTGGAAGGGATTATTACCCTAAGGGAAATGGACAAATTGAGGCTTAAAAAAGGAACCAGAGGGAGGAATATAAGATATATTTCTAATTTGAAATCCAAGACTCTGGAGGGATAAGCTTCCACATAATCAGGTTCAACAGGTAAGCGGGGGAGAGTGCCCGGCTGCTTGAGCATCTCTTATTTACCACATTAATTCGAGACGTGCTTATCACTGTCGTAATCCTGCAGGCCGAGCAGGGCTGTGCTCTCCCAGGGCCCTCAGCCACAGGGCACAGAGGCTCTGAAAAGCCACTGCAAAGCAACTGAACCAAGAGCTGGTGCAGGCAGCAGAGAGTGCGTCCGGCAATCTGGTCCAGGTTCTGCGACCTAATTGTCCAAATGGTCCAGGGGGCAGCAGATGCCCTGGCGCTGAGCAGATCCGCATCTCCCCAAGTCAACTGCTTTCTCTTCTCTGCTACCCAGATGCCCTAAAGAAAATGTTATCTTGGACACCTGATCCAAAGGCGAAGTGCTACCTGAAGAACTGTTCGGATTCCTACATCCAGGGTTTTCGTCTGGAGGGGTGGGGGAGGACGGGAAGGCAATGGAGAGGACCCAGGGACTGTGGTGGGCAGGCAGCTCCCCACGGCTGAGGACCCAGAACCAAGGCCACTGACCTCAGGAAGTCATGAGTCCAAGCTCTGAACCCCTCCCAAGGTTTTCTGACCCAGGCTGTTGTCATGTGCTGAAGCCTGCTGAGAACCCCCGCGGCAAATGGGACACTGGGAGCAGCCAGCTCAGATTGCTGGTACAGCCGGAGCCTTCCTGAAAATCCTCTCTCCAAAGCATGCTACCCCTGTGGCCGACCCCACACGGACCTTGGAGGGGGCAATCGCATGTGAACCCCATCTCACCATTCAAAGGGATCTCAGAGGCCACAACCTTGTTAGGCACAAGGCGTGAGACATGGTCTGGCTACTTTCACAAGCATGGTCACTGGATGCGTGGCCTCTATTTAGAGTCTAGCTGTCCTTCGAACTGTTCTGGTGGCACTGGGTAATCGGCTCTCATCTGAAGGCGGTGCACCTCCCTCTCCCCTCACAGCTTCCCAGTGTGTCGTAGCTACACTAGATCTCAGATGAATCTCTGCCCACCTGGTGCCTGGGCAGGTGTCAGCATCCAGGCACAAGGGACAAGTGTTACATGATGTGCAACGAAAATCCTTCACTGCA